TGACGATTTAATTTTTAAATTTTAATGCTGTAATCCTCAGTCTTAACTGAAATAATTGGGCTTGACATAGAAATAGCTATAGCCTGCCCCTTTTGAAACCAACAAAACACTGCTCGTTCACTGCCCTTTACTTTATCAGTTTATGCCTTTTCGTCCCTCTTTCAGCACTATAACTCTCAATACAATGTATTTTCCGGTGGGTTTTTTTCTTTGCTTCGGAATCTCAAACATGTTGCAGATTGTTCGTTTTTTAATATATATATATATATAGACATCCACCTCTGCTAGGATCAGCCGTTTGTCCTGAACCGAGAAGTCTTTGTACATTTCTTTTGTTCTGCTATGGTTCACTTTCTTCTACAACAACTTCACCTAGACCTAACTGTACCGAACATCGGCAAGCTGCTGCATAGTGCGTAGTCTCTGTTGAAGAGAAAGCGCTGACACACATGGCGGCAATAGGGCCCTACTGGCTACGTACCTTCAGAAGCAGACTCTCCGCTCGCATGTCTAAACCAAATCTGCCACTCTATGAAACTAAAAATCTGGATCTCGGGGGAAAAATCGGGATCAACGACAAATCACCAAGGCGACTAGCCAGCTGAATATAAAAATTTACAGGGTGTTCATAAATTATATTCCATGTATTATTCTAAATTCTGAAGTATCACGTCAAGGACTCCTTGTCCAAGTGTATACCCCCTCCCCCTTTTTCCCAGTAAGCCTCTAAAGACGCTTCAACCAGTGCATGAACTTTAGTTGACCCCGTCAACGGACGGTCCCTGACACGCGCGAAACTCCCGCGCCGAAGTAACGTCACGTGATGAGAACGCACGTTTGAAAGTTTTACTCACGGCCTTGATGACGGGCCCGACTTAACAGAACTTGGAGTTGGAGAACGCTTGTTTTGAAAGTAACAGCAGAACTATGAATAATATTAATCAATTGTGTGCCGCAATTGAAAAAGTTATCAGGCGGAAAATTAAAAATTACGGGTCCGGTAGCCTAACAACTATAGACTACACCGCAACTAAAGTGAGCACGCCAGATCTAGATCTAGGTCTACTGCTGAGCACTCCTGAGTCGTATGAAACAATGAAACAAAAACGTCCTTGGCCTACACTACTCATCATACTGCCCCCGGCTTGGGCCTACTGAGAGATCATATAGTCTCTCTCTCTCTCTCTCTCTCTCTCTCTCTCTCTCTCTCTCTCTCTCTCTCTCTCCACGGCTTCATCGGTAAAACGAAATTTGCGGCCGTCTATATGCCTGCATGTAATTAGATCTACCCTCGATGTCGCCGATTTTTTCCCTCGCTACATAGGTACGAATTGTCAAGTCTTTGTGTGTGTGTTTTAATACACAGAATAATATAGGCTCCACATCAAAATTCGGGACCTCAAATTATGTTAGCTACATCTATTATTCCATGTGCATCATATCTACATTTACTGAAAGAACGAATTTCCTTTTAAAAAATATAATAAATCCCAATAATATTTAAAGTTGGACCGCGACGTGCTTGTGCTTGTCCAAACGACCCACATACATGAGCCAAAGATGTCAAAAACAGCCACAATTTGCAAAATATGGCTAAACCTGGGCAAATCACAGAGCGGTCTCGCCAGATGAATAACCTCGAGGTCGTTGGCCTAGTGTTTACTGCGGACTGCGACATAGATCAAATTGGGTTATTTCCGGGCTTGCAACGCTCATTTTGGCCAGTAGGGCAAGCTGATACAGACCAGCAACGTAACTAAATGTAAAGAGCTAGAGGCCGGATGGGGAGAATGACTACTTCCAAAATGTATGACGTCGACAATTTGTCCCAAACCGGGAAAGTTGGAAAGCTTATTTTCAAAAGCCGGAATTCCGGCATATGCCGGGCCGAAAACTTTCACCTATGGACTAGACACTCTTCCTTGTCTCATTGACCATAGCAGAAATCATATAATAATTATTATTATGCGCAACATTCTTTAGCTGTTGGTGTGTGGGGGTGTTGACATCTTTAAGAGGCATAACGAAGTCAGTAATAATTTCTCTGTTGAGCCAAAGATCATAAACTAGTGGAAGATCTTTGGTTACTCCTATACAGCGATCCGAGAAATAAAATCTAGCCAGGGTCCTCTAACTCTAAATGTGTGAGGAAAACCAGTCTCCCTAAATTATAATTGCTCTGGAGTTGCCTTCTTCTGGCAACGTTTGAGGTAGCTCAGTCTTCTCTAGGCAATGTAGACGTACTGGTCCAGATGTTTAACCCTGTCCGTACGCCCTGGGGTCATTTTGTACCCCAGGGTTGTATTCTTCATATTTTAGAATACTTCTAGTACGAAGATCTTTTTGAAACTTTCAGTATTTCTCAAAATATCATTTTGACACACTGCTATGCAAAGCGTACGGATCGGATTAACGAGTAAATTTTCTTTTTGGAAGATGATGGCACAGAGTTCCCCACGTCGTCATATGGATGCGATAGTAAAACACGACGTACGGATAGGGTTAACCCAATGCCCTTAAGACTCCTCAGACCAGTCCGGTGGTAGACCTTCAACTGAACCAAAAACGTCGCAGTAGACCTTGAACCAAACCGGCACCATTTTAATAAAAAAGATTTTGTAAGTTTTCACAGCCCTTGCAACACAAATAGACCATACAAATACAAGTAACGAAGATTAAAGATTTTACTATAAGATAGTAGAGAGTAACATACAGAGATAAGGATGATAGCTGTTTGAGAGAGGAAAAACGTTGCAAACTACACCAGAGCACAAGTTAACTTTGACCCACTCTTACACAGGAAGAGCACGTATTTTCCCTATTTACTTTGAATTAACTTTGTCATACGGTGGTGGGGGAGGCTCTCGTCCTAGAGGTTAAGGTGTTAGCCTCTCATTCAAAGGTCCCGGGTTCGAATCCGGGTAGCAATGAAAACATTTTCTCCTTTAAAATTTTCTCCTTTCACATCTTTTCAATGTTCTGTCGTTTATTTTTGTCGTTATTTTCTGCCCCCACCCCGTCACCTCCTTTGTCCCCTACTCTGGGATCTTGACTCTTTCTGCAGCCTTTCAAATGCTACTCCTTGGCTCCTTCTTAACTGCTGTCTTTCAACCACACCCCTGATCTTATGGTAAGAAAGATCTACATCTAGCCTTCTCGGACAAGGGCAAAATATCTCGGAGGACGCGTGTGCAAGTTGCGCACGTTAGATTCCTTGGAGGTCTGAAATTGAAAAGAGTAGGCTTCAGCCGCCATCCTCACCAAACCTCTCCCCCCCCCCCAACAAAAAAAACCAACTACTCATATTGGATTTTAATAGAGTTAAACAGGACTTGCAACACAATTAGGTTACATAAGTGCCAAAATTAGAGATGTTACAAACATAAAACAGAAGGAGAGAAAAGAATGAATGGCGTTTGGTGGGACAGAAGAAGCAAACCACATCAGAGCATCCGCTGAAACCACTCATTTTTAAAATATATCTTTTTTTATAGTAGAGGGTTTTACGGCGCTCGCAACTGCATAAGGTCATATGAGCGCCAAGGGGTGGGAGTCAACAGAGAAGTCTTTACAGGGAATCAGACTTATTCTGCTCACCTCTCTAGCTTCAACAGCACAAGGTCTGCTTCTACTATCAAGGCACCCTGGAAATAGCAGGTCACAAGAAAGTGACAAACACACAAAAGAAGTAGAGGAAAAATGACAATAGTAAGGATAAGGAAAGAAAAAGCAGCAGTTCCCTGTTGTACATCGGCACAGTTATGAGCGTGACATGAATCAGCCCATATATAATTTACAATTCTACTGTGCTTGAACGAGAAATGTCCCACCTTTGGGAATGGCCTAGAGACACTACAGTCAGTGGCACTGCCCCGCGGGGCCCACTCATTTTCACTACCCAGACAGACACTGACAGAAAAATACAAAAATGTAGAATCAAAGCAGTTTATTCTTTATCCACAATTGCTGACATAGTATCAAAACATTTCATCCCACACAAAGCAAAAGGTTAAAACAACCGATAGAGGGGTCACAGGAGAAATCACATGGGAACATTGTGCTCTAGACGTCTAGAAGTCGTTCATAGGAACAAATTTGCACTTAAACCCAAACGAGAAAAACATCAACAATTGATGCTTATAACAACAGAGAACATGAATAATTTTTCAATAACATCAAAACTAAATTAATAAGACATTTTTAAAGTGTTTGAAATAAGATTATAAGGCAAAATTAAAACTGTTGCAAAGGTATGAATCTATGCCTCCTTTCTTTTCATCTTTCTTCTTTTCTATTAACTGGATCAAGTGTTGAGAGCAACTAGTTCCTATTAATCTTATCCGTTTTACTATCGTATCCATACAACGTGGGGAACTCTGTTTCACAACTTTCCAAAGAGGAAATTTACTTGTTAATCCGGTCCGTACGCTTTGTATAGCAGTCTGTCAAAATGACTTTTTGAGAAATACTGAAAGTTTCAAAGATATCTTCGTACTAGAAATATTCTAAAATGTGAAGAATACAACCCCAGGGGTACCGGTACAAAATGACCCCAGGGTGTACGGATAGGGTTAAGGTATAAAACTTGTGCAAATACACAGGTATTTATTAGCAAAAAAACAAACAAAACAAATGGGCTTACAATTTCTCATGTCCATGCAGTAAAACAGCCAAGATTGAGGTAAATGTTTCCAATTATTTTACACTCTAATCAGCACAATTTAGATCGTTTGGGAAGCAGACTGCTGCAAACTTGCTTATCATTGTCAATCTGAGCTGTCAGAGGGGCATCATCCACGGGAAGGGGGAATCGAGAAACTTGGTAAAATATATCCACCACATAGGGAGTCACACTCACATCTTTTGTGAGCAAAGCGAAAAGCCAAAAGTCATTACACAACAGACGTCAGTCCGGTAAAAAGTGTAAAATTAACGAAATTATTTAAAATTTCGCTATAAATTCGATTCACAGTAAAAAGCACTGAACGTTCACTCATTCTGTATAAACTAAAAATTGATATCACAGAAGTGCATAAATGCACCAGTGGAACATAATTGATAATGACAGCAACATGGACATGCCCCTTCCCAATCATCACATCAGTACCTAAATAACAAAAAACCATTAATCAACATTCTATTTTACAGTACACAACTAGACAAAACAAGCTATTTAATCAAAATATGTAGAATACAAAGCAGGAAATAAGCACCAGCACCTTCATAAATATATAATCATTTTTAATGTAAATAACTAATCATACATCTTTCAAAACGTTCAAGACATTATCATCATAAAAAGTTCATTATAAAAAGGTTTAGCTCTTTCATACAATTCTGAAATTTTGTATGACATCTGAACACCATTGTTTAAATTCAATTATTGCAACACAATGAATCATCTCCCTCCGAAAAAAATAAAGACTCCGAAATTCATGAAAATGCCAGAAAAAGAAAAAATGAAGGCACAGAAAGGTGTAAAAAAAGATTAAATGCTTTTATGCTTTGTGCCAGCTGGCCAAAGTTTCGTCTGTAAGTCTTGCAGTGTGTCTGTTGGTGTGCGTCATCTCCCATTTCTTCATCCACGGTCCAACAATCGTTGTGTCAAACTCATCTTCATCCTCCTTGCCCTGAGGTATAAAAGAAAAATAGTGAAGTCATCTGTACATTTGAAAATAATACAATCGAACTTGATCTAACAACTACCTGTATAAGTCAATCACCTATACTATCAGCCGCTTCCAATTTCCTATCTTCCTTAGTTTTTCCATTATATTGACATTGTGTAAGACGGCCACTTTTCTCCTTGACAGTGGTGGTCATCTTCAACAGTTTTGACGGAAATCAAACAAACAGTGCGATGAAATTCTTTTGAAGCAATGTTATAAAGCCTTGATTCTTAATCTCCGAGGGGCCCTTTTTTGGTGTGAAATCTAAAAGTGACATACACCACACAAAATTGGTAATTAAATCAAAACAAGTGAACCTATTTTGATAGATCTTCATCTAATGAATGAACTTGTGGTGAAAGAGACCTGTTTTAGGCAATTGCAAAACAAACTTGATGTCAAAGTCATTGTAAAGGAATGTGCTCAAGCTGCTGCCAGTGGATCACCATCACAGCAGTTCCGACAGCGAATCACAGGGATCGGCCTCCCGGAGATAAGGAGTTAAGGAACAGGCCGGCCGAGCCTGAAGTTTTTCAAGCCAACTCAACAAACCGCCCACTCTCTCTTCCTAGGCAGAACTCATCTTAGCCTCAAAGTGAAAAACCCCCCCACATGGACAACATTTCTAAGTTATGTTCACTACCTGCAAAGAAGAACATGTCAAAGCTTTCCTTCCACTTGAACTAGCAAAGTGAAACCAACCCGTTCTGTAAACTAATGTGAATACAACTAACTTGTGTTGCACACGCTTAAATTACTTAAATGATTCTACGCAGTTGCAAATACGGTAACACTTTTACCAAACTACTGAAGCTTTCTTTAGAATCAACAATTAAAACACAGATTGCAGCTGCTTCAACACCCTGTACATACTTTCGTTTTCCATTTCTTCCTTGCATTTTGTATATATAGGTGAAGCATCGTGGTGAAACCAGGCGCTGGTCAAAATAATGAAATCAAAGAAATTGACATTTTTCTGACCGTTGGGCGATTTTTTTCTATTTTTCTTTTTTTGGCTCAACACCTTTTATAATCATTTTAAAACGGATTGCTGTGTGGATTTTGCTGAAAAACATCGATTAAAGGCACAAAAAAGTCAATTGTCAGTTTCCGAGGACGCTCAAGCTGTGGAAGTTACCAAACTTTGGCGGTCATTTTCTCCCAAATTTCCCCTTTGAAACCAGGCGACCCTGACCTCTTTCAATCGCAAATATTTTGACTTCTGTGCGACATAGATGGATATTTTTTCCCCCATAAGAAAGGCAAATGAACAGGCTTTAACCCTATCCGTACACCTGGGGTAATATTGCACCCCGGGGTTGTATTCTTCACATTTTAGAATACTTCTAGTGCTAAGATCTCTTTGAAACTTTCAGTATGTCTTAAAAAATCATTTTGACAGACTGCTATGCAAAGCGTACGGATCGGATTAACAAGTAAATTTCCTCTTTGGAAAGTGGTAGCCCAGAGTTCCCCATGTTGTATGGATACGATAGAAAAACACGACGTACAGATAGGGTTAAGATGATACCAATAACCCCATGCCATATGCCCAAAAATTAACGAACGCCTGATTCCACCACGTCGTGACACATATGTGTTATACGACGAGGTGAAATCAGGTGCCCGTCAAGTTTTGAGCATGTGGAATTATTGGTAGCATTGAAAATTGAAAAGCTTATGCATTTGCCTTGCTTTTGATGAAAAAAATTCTGATTTATCTTGAATAGAGGTAAAGATATTTACAATAGAAGGAGGTATGGGTGGCCGGCCTGGTTTCAGAGGTAAAATTAGCAAGAAAATGGGTGCCAAAGTTGGATAACTTCTAAACTTCGAGAGTCCTTGACAGCTGAAAATTTACATGTTGTGTGCCATTAGTCAACGTTTTTCAATAAAACTCACAAGGAAATGTGTTTTTAGATAGACATAAAAGGTGTTGAGCCAAAAAACAAAATTCGATCAAAATTGTCGAACTGGAGTAAAGCTGCCTATTTCTTCGATTTCATAATTTTGACTAGTGCCTGATTACACAACCATGCCTCACATACAAATGAAACTGTCCAAGAGATCTGCCTGTCTAAGATGACCACTTTTCTCCTGGTCATTGAGTGGTGATATTGCACAGGTTGGACTATATTACAAATTATGAACATTGGTATTACATACAAATGTTTTAATTCATTTCATCACAAGCGAAAAAAAATACACATTAGTAAAAACCAGTCCAAAGAACTTTCATGACAGGAGAAGAGCATCTAAAACCATAGTGTTTACAAGAAAAACAAACTATGCAGAGATTTTATTACCCCACTTTGTAAACTATGCAGTGCCAAACAATTCACAAAAAACATTATCCAGGAATAGAAAGAAATTCTGTAGAATAGAGGAAGTCCATGTTTGCTGGGTGCACTGGTGTGGTGTGCTTCTCTTTCCAATCAAATATATTATATCGTCCTTATCTCTCCTCTTTTTTTTCTTAGCTTATTACTCTCTGGTGATAACACCTCTAATCTTCCGCACTTTTATGACCTATTTGTGGAGTATGTGTCGTAAATCTGATACCCAAACAAAAAAACCCAAAAAATCTCTTACTACTGCACCCTATCTTTATTTCAAATACTAAACCACCTACAGTGTAGGGCGCACGATATTCCTTCAGGTGTCCATCTTCTCACCTAAAGGGTATACATAATTCTATACAATAGACAACAAAAAGTTCACTCACCTTCAGCTCTTCATCAGCTTTTGTATGCCGATCAACACTATTGAAACTATTCCAGTCAATTTCCTTGATAGGGTTTTTCTTGGATCTCATCATGATGCCCTGTTTGAGGCCGTAGAAGCCCACTGGTTTGTCTGGTCGCTGCCACCTCAGGTCCAGACTCCAGCGGATGTCATTAGACAGGTTGTTCAAACTGGAAGATTCAAAATGAATAATAATAATAGTAATAATAATACTTGCATTTTTCATCTAGTGGCTAGCGCATATCCATGCTCTGTGCGCTTTACAACAATTATTACTCTAGCAGACCCTAGAACACTCAGAAACATTCTCAGCTTCCCAAGTAGCATACATTCAAACGCTAACAATCTGACACGATATGTCGCTGTCTGTAGCCGAGTACCTATTCCACCTGAGCGAAATGAGGAAAATTTGTGTAAAGTGCCTTTCCCAAGAACACAACTTTGGGCCCCTGATGAGATTCAAACCAATAAACTTACTGTTGTTAGCCCAACAGTTTAACCATTAGGCCATAGACACCACTAACAACTTTCTTCAAACTATGATAATCAGAATGGAAGAATGGAAAAAGCCATAACAGAAAACCACGGGACACCACAATAGAAAATCAATCAACTACAGGCAAAAGTACAACTGCTTGAGTTGTAAAATTCATTGAAACGATTAATTAGTATAGTGAGTAAAAAGAGAAGCTAAATAAAGCTCCAAAGCAAAATTAAAAATAGTATGAGGGAATGCTGGCCTCTGACACATTAAAATGCAACTGATGGACGTCCAAAATGACTCATCATTATGATATTTAGATCTACATTATACGGTGCAACATTAATGTTTGAATGGGCTGAAAGTGGCAAAACAAGTCTTGTCTTACTTGCCTTTTTTTCCCATGAAAAATCAATGTCCTTTTTCACAGGGACATATTGTGTCTTGGGGGATGGTATTTTATTAACAGATGAGATTTTTTTAACAGTTTATCAACATATCTTTTACTATTGGAAAAGACATTTAAATGTTAAAAATGATCAAATTTGGAGGGTACCTTCTGTGAGGTATGAGGTTGTTGATGAGCAACATTCCTCCATAGGGCACTTCACACAGCACCTTGTCCTTGGCCACAGTCACCTCTGTGGAAAATATAAGGGAGACTGAGAATTAAATCTGCGCAGAGTATGTTTGGGGCCTTCCACTCCTCACACTCTTGATCATACTTGCTCTAAAACCATTCACACCATTTTTTAAAATGCATAAATTAATTCAAATAGGGTATATTTAATTGGAAAGAAACATTGGAGAATATGGTAACAACAGGCAAGTCTGATGGAAAGAAAGGCAGAGGCAGACAGAGGGAAAAGATACTGGACAAGTCGACAACAGGGCTGGGAGCAGCAAGAACAACAGACACCATTGTTGCAACGCAAGAGAGATGGAAGTGGAGGTCCATGATCACCCACGCCAGTCAGCAATGCACTGGAGGATGATGAAGATATATTTAAGGGAGTTCTGTTAGCTCAGTTGATATCATGCTGGACAATGGAGCAGATGGCCTTGGTTCGAATTTCAGACTGGGCGTTCTCGAGCTGGGATCACTTTGTGGAGTTTTCAAGGCTCTCAACCCATTTGGTGTAGTCCTTACAGAGATGGACATTAAATTTAACAGATGTATTTTATTTCTTATTGGATCGAGTCCAAACTGTTACTTGAAAAAGGAACAATGTCATTGAAAAAGGTGTCAACAGAAAATGTCTATTAAATCAAAATGACCATCAGTTTTCATACAAACAAAAGTCATTGATCAGGAATGTTACACTTCAAGGATCTGTAACAGTGGTTGGTATATAAAAAAACAACCACTCAGTCTGTCAGTGTCAGGGTGCTGCAGACACTTCAAGAATTTTAGTTTATAATTTTTTCATACACCCTTTTCAAAAGAGGGCAGGCCCTGAGCAGAATGTGAGTTTTAGTTCCAGTAAGAGTTTTAAGGCACTTTCAACACAACAAGGTCACTAAGTGTAAAAAATTAACAGCATTACTAAAGAGTAATATACACGTAAAGAAAAGAAAGAGGGGAGATAAGGTCGTACGAATACGAGTGCTAGAGATTAGAGATGTTACAAGCAAGCAACATACAAAGAAAAGAAGGAGGAAAGGTAAAGATGATCAATGTTTGATAGAATTGATAGGAAAGAAGGAAGGAACCACACCAGAGCACCTGCCAACCACCCACAAATAGATGTTGGATAACAAAGAAAGAGCAAACCACACCAGAGCACCAATCAACCACCCACAAGCGGAATGTAAAACCCTGAGACAAGATAGCACATGCCAAATAATTTTAAAATCACAAATCACAAAAAGTTTGTAATTGTCATCAGATGAGATCATTTTACTTGTCTCATAGATGATGTAACTTTGCCAAAATTGAAACATTCCATTTTTATAGTGATGTTATTCAATGTTTAAAAAAATAATTGGAAAAATTAGAAAGTAAAATTTAGTAAATTTTGAAAATGTACAAATCCCCAAATTTAGAAATTTTTTTTATTGCAGTTTCTTAGTCTGTGGTGTACGTTGAATGTTCAAACTTTAAACGTCAAAAAAAAAAAAAGGAGAAAAATTACGTCATATGGGTACAATTTGTTAAAAAAATTAAAGAGTTTTCTCTTTCAACTGAAAGATTTTGTTTTATGGCCGTTGTACATTTTAACAGCTTGCCGACCATATATGAGTCTGAACGAACAGTGAACAAAAATAAAACTATGTTCATGACATCCACCTGAATGGTAACAAAACTGCACGTACCCAGAGAGTCCTCGATGTCCTTCTCACTGAGCTCTACGTACCAGGTGTTGCCCCAGCAGCAGGTGTGTCTGGCTATCTTGCCCGTCAGGTGACCGCCAGACACTACCTACAGGTCAGACAAGAGCAAAAATACATTATATAAAACAAGAAAAAAACAACATATACCACCAGGAACTACATTTGGGAAAAGGTCTCAAACAAGACCAAGGCACTACAATACAAGCCTTGTAAAGACTTCAACACTTTTCCCATGGACAGAGCTGGTGTGCCATTTCCGATCTAATAAAAGCAAACAACTTACATACATTCCCATCAGTATTTGCCACCAGTGTGCTTTGCATTTATGAGTATAAGCCTTGCCAGTGGTAGTCGTGGCTTCCAGCTTTGCAAAGCGAGTAGAAACAGTGCCCATTGACTGGATGGGAAAACTACATCTTGCTAAGCATCGATGTACATGTATAGATCAAATTGTCCAAGACAGTTGCCCAATTTTGAGGAAAAATACAGATCAGTGATGACTCTGGGGATTTTTTAGTGACTGTTTTACTGCGCTCGAAACTACAAAAGGTCATATGAGTGGACAGGACACATTAAACATTTTCAGTTTGGTTGGAATCGATTTTAAATTTAGCTCCAGTGGCGCCGAAATCTACTCTTTTATTGATTTTGGACCACTCAGGAATCTTTAACGTGCCAGCTTGCACATGGGACCTTTGACTTTGAGATTTTTCGCCCTTGTCCAAGAAGGCTAGGCGTTAGATCTTACTTCCTAAGATCAGGGGTGTGGCTGGAAGACAACAGTAAGGAACCAAGAAGTAGCAGCAGAAAGGTTGCAGAAAGAGTCAGGAGCACAGAGAAAGTAGCGACAAAAGCAGACAACAGAACATGGTTAGTAGAGAGCAGGAAAGGAGGTGAAAGGAGAACTTTTAAACAAGGAAATTTTTTGTCACTGTCGGGTTTCAAACCTAGGACTTATTGCATGAGAGGCAAACACCGTGAACTCTAGACCACGAGAGCACACCCCCCCCCCCCCCCAGGGTGATGACTTGATACAGATCAGAAAATCTATAAAACAAAAACCAAAACAGAAGAGTCCAAACCTCCATGCAGCCGTTATTCTCATTAGCGTCCAACAGAGGGATCCAGGCAGCAGGCTGAAGGACACTGTACGATTCATTGTCCAGGTAGGCGCTGTCTGAAACACAATACGTGGAATTTTAACCCATTTGTGATTCACCACCCACTACAAGTGTGGGAGGTCAAAGGATTTTCAATACAACAGGACCATATTTAGGTATTCAATACCTTGAGCCACCATGAAGAATCACAGAAACCAATGATAGCATAAAAATTTAAGCCCAAACTTTGTATCGTTCAAACTTTTTCAAAAAGAGCCAAACAGACTGTTGAACATGAGAATTTGAGTTGAGCATTGCCACTTGCCACATTATCATATTTTACATGTACATGCACAGCCAAGAATGAAGTTACAGAAGGAAAATACCTTTGTTCCAGGATATCTGGTAAACAACAAAAAGTGAGTCCAAGGCCTGTACTCAGCAATATTATGGTTGAGACATCTTGTGAGAACAACACCTGTGGTGCAAGCCTTGCTAGTGATGGTCGTGGCTTCTCATTTTGTAAAGCTAATGGAAAGGGTGCACATTTATTGGACGCTTTTAGTATGAGTTTTACTGCACTTGCAACACAAAAAGGTCATATAAAAGCTAAAGATTAACGGTGTTACAAAACAGTAACAAGCATATACATTGTACAAGAAGGAGGAGAGATAAGGACAATAGATGTTTGATAAGAAAGAAGGAACAAACCACACCAGAGCACCCACCAACCACCCACCTTGCCAGTGATAGTTGTGGATTCTAGCTTTGTAAAGCCAACAGACAGGGTACACATTTACTACTGGATGGGGAATTACATCTAGCCAAATATTGATGGATTCTTACACTTTTAAAGAATCTGCCACCGACACAAACAATGAGGTAGACAGAACATGACATGTAACATTGTGATAGACTCAATGCTACACTAAAGAATATTTTTATGCTAGAACAGAAAAAAATACTACACACCATGTCCAACATTGTAACTTTGTGTCCACTCAAAACGTGGCCATTCAATAGAGAGGAAATTGGCCCCCCAAAATGTGGTACCCTGTCTTACATTCTCCGTAAGCTCCTGAAACAAAACTGCATCAACCCCACCACATAGCTAGACATTCACTCACCCTGATGCCAAGGCACAGTGGTCGCCTCGTTTTGCGGTGTCTTGGTCCGGAGGTTCCACACTGGATGACCCATGATCTCTGGACCAATCAGCTGCTCCACCACATTCAACAAGCGCTCGTTGGACCACAAGGCCTGGAAGCTCTGAGGACCCATGTTCATTTTGAAAACAAAATTATTTGATGACGCAATTAGCATCATTAGGTCATGTTCAAAGTAAAAATCTAAAAGATTAGAGCATTATTCAGGTAAGAGCTCTGTTGCGAATGCATGAGTCTCTGTTTGATGGCACTATCGATATTACTGCATACTGTCATCCAGCTGTTCTGATCCTTTAAGCCCAAATATTTTGAATTCTTTTCTTTTTTACAGCAGTTTCTATCTTTGTGGAATGCTCAAGAAATATCTTGTTAAAATTCAAATTCTAACTGTTGATAAAAGCAAAACAAAATACATACTTCTGGCATAATTGTTACAAGAATGAAACAGTTTTTTTCTCTCTGCTGAAAACTGTTGCTTTCTTGACTTAATACACTTGAACATATGTATATGTGAGTGTGTGTGTGTGTGTGTGTGTGTGTGTGTGTGGAAACAGATTTTAACATTAGTTACATTGTTAAAAAAGAAGAAGACGCAGATCACACTACGGAACCCATCAACAAACACTTGTTGGATCAGAAATCTCTTAGCACAAGTCTCTTTTGAGCACGATTGTAGACTTAACAGGATGATGAACATCATCACATCATGTTCTCAGGTAAATAAACAGGATTACAATGACAGCAGCATAGAATAATACAAAATCCACCAGCAAACAAATTGAAGTCTATTTTTGCTTAATGTTGATTAAAATTTGGGGGATAAGTTGGAGAAGCTGGGGGTATATGAATGTTTAACTTTGGTCTACTTTTTGCAACTGTTTTCACAATCACTATTTATCGCGGTTCCAAATGAAATGGGAGCAAAAAGATTCCTTTCAAACAATAAAATCATCTGGAGGTGTTTGCTTCTGGGTCTGAGTGAAGAGAAATACATTGACAAGATAACTGCCATACAGTGAGAATAGTGCTGAAACAAAGGAAGACACAAAGAAGGAAGACGCAAAGACAGAAATTTACGAGAGGGAAAGAAAAGAAGTAAGACATTAACAATGACACCCTCCAACAAGAGTGAGAGGTCAAAGGACTTTCCTCACTACAAGACCATCTTCAGACTTGCCAACTTTTTCAAAAACCAATCAGGGGACATCCAACGCCATAACATCAGATTACGTGACAACAAACACAATTACATCAAGTGGAACTGAATTTGGTGTAGTGCATGTAATGTAAAGTAAGACTCTCAAATTCCTAATCTCTGAATCAGGGGACAGTCCCAGGAAATACAGGATATTTGGCAAGCCTGCCTGCTATTATGAGTGCTAGAGTTCATTTTTTTTTTTTTGGTAAAAGTTTTACAGCACTTGCAATGCAATTAGGTCATATAAGTGCTGAAGATTATAGTTGTTACAAGAAAGTAACAAACACAAAAAAGAACAGAGATAAGAAGACAGATGTCCTCTAGAAAAGAACAAGCAAACCACACCAGAGCACCCACCAACCACCCACTTTCAGATCAGGTCAGCAATAACAATGAAGACAAAGTAAAAGGTGTAAACCACACGTGAGCATTCCCCTGGGGCCCACTTTTGAAGTTTCCTACCAAACTAGCCAAAATCAGAAGTGTTCATTACTCGTTCCTCATCACTGTATTCATATAACTCGTTCCTCATTACTGTATTTATAACTCGTTCCAATTACTGTGTTCATAACTCATTCCTATTACTGTGTTCATAACTTGTTCCCTATTGCTGTGTTCATAACTCGTTCCTTATTACCGTGTTCATAACTCGTTTCTCATTACTGTGTTCATAACTTGCTCCTTATTACTGTGTTCAAAACTCGTTTCCCATTAGTGTGTTCATAACTCAATCCTTAATACTGTGATCATAACTCAATCCTCATTACTGTGTCCATAACTCCATCTTTCTTTCTGTTTTACCATTGGTTTTTTTCCTCCAAATTGCAGTCTTTATATAAGTTGTTCCTTATTACGCCATTCATAACTTGCTCATCAAAGCAGCCTTAACATGTTATTCCACATTGCAGCCTTTATAAGCTGTTCCCTAATGCTGTGTTCATAATTTGAAACAAGCAACGTACAATGTTATTTGTTCAAAGGAAAGGTTTCCACAACGTGAGTTGGACAACATATAGGAAACTGCGAATTCATGAGAGTAAAAATGAGATTACTGAACAAGTATCATTAATCAATATCATGAAAAATTAATTTTAAAAAAAAAGATGAATTTACAAAAAGGAATTCTCATTCAAAAATTTAAAAAAGAGATACCAGAAACAAGGGAAAAAATGACAACAAACTAAAAGCATGGATCACCTTTCTCATGTGTCCTTGGGTTTTAAAAAGGAGGATATTGGAACCAGGGAAGTCCTTTTCCAAATATGCTAACCTTTGTAAGAACCCATGCTCCTCATACAAACCTGAAAGCAGTACAGTCATCCATGTGACACCAAAATGACAAACAACTTTAGATGAGCTAGAAGTCAAAAATAGGATTGCAAGTTTGATTTGTTTGGCAGTAAAACAACAGTTGAGTTACTTACACCAGGATCTCTGCTGCTCAAGGAGCAAATGGCCGAAATTGTGTTCTGCATCTGTTTACGTTCTATTGCAATAGATTCATTAAAAACACTTCTAGCTGTACAGGAGCTCCCCACTAGCTTCTGGTATGTTTTAAACTGGTCAAGAAGGTGAGGGTTGAAATAATTATTGATCTGTCCCTTCAAGAAGAACAACGAAGTTTCTCAGAGTGTACAAGTGAAAAAAGAAAAAGTACAGCATAAGAACCATGTATGTCTCTTCAGGAGCAAAAATGAAACCTCTCTGGCGTGGAAGGTCTTTTTTTCATTGCATGTGTTGCACTGCAGCCTAAAGGTGGAAAGAAGAATTGCTTGCTTTACAGTGGATATTTTTCAGGACTCCAGCTGTCACACGTACAATAGAAACTTGGTTAGAGCAGCACAAACAAATATAATAATATATTGACAAAGGTGAAATGAAAGTCTCCACAAGAAGCAAAGGCTGGACATTGCAAAAAAAGAAAAAAAGAAGGCAATTGTCACAAAGTAAAGCACACCCAACAGACAAAAGCAAGCACAACGTTTCCTTCCTCCTGTGGGGGAAAAAACAACACATCTGGTGGTCACAAAGAAACCGCAAAGAAAGAAGCAAAAGGGTAGAAAAGCAAGGCACGGTGTCTAGTGTCTATGTCACCTGGGCTAGTTTCCCTTGTTTATGGAGGATGACATTGGTTCCTGGAAATTCTTTTTCAAGATGAGTCAGTCTCTGAAAGAGACTCTTGTCCTTGTGTAGATCTGGAAAAACACCATACAGGTGTTCAAGAGGTAAGGAATTGCAAATCAGAGGTGAGTCAATTAAGTGAGTGGTCAAGGCTTATCCTTTTTATTCACATGCATCCCTTTGCTAAACTTTGCCATGGAAATAAAGCATCTCACCACTACACTACCGAACTTTGTAGCTGGTTGTAAGGATGTGGGGCGAAAAAGAATAAAAATCATTAGTAACAGAGATCCTCGTGAAAATAACTAGAACCACATGACTTGGAAACTAATATACAACATTGCTAAGCAGTGAAACAGACATACTCATAAAGGGTATTTTCCTTTAAAAAGAGCTTGATCTATATAAGGTGTTATCATGAAAATACTTTTGAATTCATACAAACCTTGCGGGTAAAAGTTTGTAAAAAATTAATATAGAAAGCTTATGAATAAAGAGAGAAAATCTGCTGTGGACACACCCTATAAGAAAGCAGTAATGGCCCTTGAAACACAATAAGGTCATATAAGTGCCGAAGATAAGGTGTTACAAGACAGTAACAAACACAAAAATAGAAGGAGGAGAGATCAGGATGATACATGTTTGACAGGAAAGAAGGAGCAAACCACATCAGAGCACTTGTGAACCACCCACCTGCTGGGGGAATAATTAAGCACTTTAACTTTAACTACACAGTTGTTTTTTAGTTTTAGTAAGAGTTTTACAGCACTTGCAACACAATAAGGTCATATAAGTGCCGAAGATTAGAGGTGTTACAAGGGTGTAACAAACACAAAAAAGAAGGAGGGGAAATAAAGACGATAGATGTTTGATAAGAAAGAAGGAGCAAACCACACCAGAGCACCCGCCAACCACCCATGACAATAGTTCACAACCGCTTAAAAGAAAACAACAAACAATAAAAACAACAGCAACAGAAATCTTTCTGTAAATAACTACCACAACATACACTCAAAACTGGAACCAAATGTGTAAAATCAGTAAGCACGAAACATGTATTCGAAACATGTCTTTTATCTCCTCTTAAAAAGACTAGATCTGCATAAGGTCTATACAATATCAATAAAAAGGTAAATCAGAGGCTGTACTTTCTGAGGAAACTTAGGTCTTTCAATCTGAATCCATCCATCCTTCTGATATTCTACACCACCACAATAGAAACTTTGATGAATTTTGGTATCACTTGCTATGGTAGCATTTTGGGAAGGCAGAACATCATAAAAATAAACAAGTTTGAGAGGGAGAGAGAGGGAGAGAGAGAGAGAGAGAGAGAGAGAGAGAGAGAGAGAGAGAGAGAGAGAGTGTTTTACGGAGCGGGTTGTTCCAGAACGTGAGACATGTATTTACTAATGTCCTGTCCTGTCGTGCGTATGCGTGAGTGCACCTAACCTTTGTGACATCTACTGCCATTGTTAACGACCGAGGTCACAAATTTCTCCCTACGAGATGAATAAAGATTGTCATTGTCATTGATATTAAATCATTTAAACTTTCTTCCGAACAACAATCATCGTTCACAACCACTTAAATACCAACGTTAATGTCTGACCTGAGGAGACAAAAGACACAGACTGACCTTTGATCTTCCCCGCCTTGTAGAGCCACTGGGCCAGGTCCTCCACCAGTTTCTCGATATCTTTACGGCACGCGTCCAGTTCCTCTTTCTTGAAGAACTCAGGAACGATGAGGTAGCCCTGAGGAAGGCACAAAATAACGAATACCGTAAAATAACAGACCTCGCTTCAATTTGTATTGCTATGAAAAGGTGGGGTTTTATTTTAAAGGATATAGAAAGTGGATATTTCTGGGTGGATTTTTACAGAAAAATGTTGAACAAAGGTACAAAATGCGTAAATTTGCAATTTCCAAAGACTCTCAAGCTCTGGAAGTCACCAAACACAGGTTGGTGGGTGCTCTCTTGCGGTTTGTTCCATTTTTCTTGTCAAACATATTATATTGTCCTTATCTCTCCTCCTTTTTCGAGTTGTTTGCTACTCTCTTGTAACACCTCTAATCTTCCGCACTTGTATGACCTGATTGTGTTGCAGGTGCCGTAAAAGTCTTATGAAAACAAAAATGATATTGAAATTTTCTATTGAAACTACATGTACAAGACTTTGTTTTCTTTGAGCGAGAGTCAGCAGAACATTAACATGCTAACAGTATCACTGCATGGGAACAATGAAGGAAGTTTTTTTCCTTCTGTTTAATGAGTTTTCCGGCATTTGCCATACAAATAGTTTAATTTAATTTTAGCAGAGGTTTTACGACGCTCGGAACTGCATAAGGTCATATAAGCGCCAGAGGATTAGAGGTGTTACAAGAGAGTAACAAACATAAAAAAGAAGAAGGGGAGATAAGGACGATAGATGTTTCATAGGAAAGAAGAAGCAAACCACACCAGAGCACCCGCCAACCACCCATCAACACAAATATATCACATAAATGTTAAAAATAGGGGGTGTTACTACAAAGTAACAAAGAAAATGAGGAAAGCTAAGGACGATAAATGTTTAATAATAGGAAAGAAGGAGTAAACCACACTAGAGCACCCACCAACAACACACAGAGAGGAGAATAACAGCAGCATATTAATCAAAATAATGAACACACACCTCAAGAACCCACCCTAGAAAATACCTTCCCCCATCTACCCC